CTGCCTGCGCCCGAGTAGTGGTGGGTGAGCGGCTGGCAGAAGGCTGCCTGGTGCGGCTTGAGCATTTGGATGCAGCGCGGACCTCAGGGCAGGTTAGAAGGCGGATTTCTCAGGCGGAAGGGAAACTGTTGGGCGAGTGAGGGCACCTGAGCAGGAGAGCTGTTTGAGTTGTTGGTGGCTGCCGGGTGAGGGGGCGGGATCTCCCCACAGTCAGACCCTCGGACTTGCTACAGGGGAGCTTTCTTCTCTCCTTTCTCCACCCAAAACGCGAACCGTAGTGAGATACGATCGCTCGCCCGTAAGCACGAAACGCTGCTCGGTCTGCGGCTTCCTTGGGGTGCGGGGTGAAAGCACCGAGGGTGACGAGGCTCCTTCCCCGCAGGCTCCGTTTACGAACCTCTGAAGAGCATCCACCTTCTGCAGCCCGACCATGAGAGTCTGTGGGAGAAGCTGGATCGTTACTACAGGATCGGTGAGCGGCGGGGACGCGCCCTCGGGCCAGCGCTTGCTCCGCTTGCTCCCCTCAGTTATGCGCTGGGCATCAGCGTCATGCCCCTCACTGGGCTCTGGGGGGCGGCGCTGAGGCCGCTCTGTGCCGGCCGCATGGGGTGCTGGGGCTGCAGAAGGAGCCAGCAGTCACATCAGTCCTGGAATAACTGTAGCGCTGTCACCGGGGTCCCTGGTGCCCTTCAGGCTTCGGGAACATTCCAGAGGCTTTCCTGAGGGCGCTTGCCCGGTTTGTGGACGGGCTCGCTGCTCATTCACTTAGGCCTGGCTCCCGGGCAGCCCTGAACCTCGCATAACCGTCTCTAACGATGTCATCGAGACACAGACGGTGACCTCGGGTCACTGGCACTCATGTCAGGTCCCTATCCTGCTGTTGCTTTGTTTTCTATGTGTGTGTGTGTGTGTGTGTGTGTGTGTGTGTGTGTGTATATGTGTATGTATACATGTGTGGGTGTATGTGTATATATGTGTGTGTATGTGTATATGTGTGTGTGTACGTGTGTATACACGTGTGTATGTGTATATGTGTATGTATACATGTGTGTTTCTATGTCTGTGTGTGTGTGTGTGTGTGTGTGTGTGTATGTGTATGTATACATGTGTGGGTGTATGTGTATATATGTGTGTGTATGTGTATATGTGTGTGTACGTGTGTATACACGTGTGTATGTATACGTGTGTATGTGTATATGTGTATGTATACATGTGTGCATGTGTGTGTATATGTGTGTGTGTATATGTGTGTATGTGTGTGTGTGTGTGGGGGGAGGTTCCCTCTTTGTCCCTCAGAACTAAGTGGAAATGCCTGTGTTTCGTGTCAGTTTACTTCATATGCCATATGCTTAGACTGGAAGGGCAGAAACTGTAACATTTGATTTATTTGTCTCCCTTACAGTAAGTATTTTTGCTTGTTTGCTTCAACTTTACCTTAATTCAACTTCCTTTGGTCAGGATTCCGATATCTATTTTATGTTGCCCTTTATTTCCTCTGTGGTCATAACTGGCTACAAAGCTTGGCTGCAGTGGCTTACGTGGCCCTCGCGTACAGGTGAGCGGGGCAGGCCCTGTCCCTCGCTAGGGAGGGGCGTGCACCCAGGACGCCGGGTGAGCTGTCCCTGGCTCTGCTGCGGACTCACGGCACCTTCCCGTCTGCCTAAGGGTTGACACGGGCCTGGTTTTAATGTTTCACGAGCGTAATTCCTCACCTCTGGGCCTGCAGATCAGCATTAGGTGTTGGCAGGAGGAACTGCCACAGGAAGGAACTGGGAGAAGATACAAGTACGTGGAGGGATAAGTCAAGGCCACAGGGCTCCTGTGTCAGCCCAGTCCCCGGCCTCTTGCTCACGGGCTGGAAGGACTGATATTGCTAAGCTGTCCTGGCACCTGCAGCCGTATACAGACGCATGCAGCCCTGTTAGAGGACCAGCGGCTGCTTCTCAGAACTGGAGCACGAATCCTAAGATGCATCCAGAACTACAGGAGATCCCAAGTAGCTAAAGAAATCTTGAGGAAGTTCAAAGAGGGAGGGATCAGGCTCCCTGATGTCAATACTATAATACAAATCAAAATGTAAAATAATAGTCAAAACGGTATGGTACTAGCATGAAACATATATATACTAGTGTGTGTGTATATATATATATATATATATATAGAGAGAGAGAGAGAGAGAGAGAGAGGGGGAGAGATATATCAATGGAGTTGTATGGAGGGTTCAGAAATCAAGTGGCCATTGTATAACCTAAAAGGATCAATATTAAAAATTGCCTCTACCCTGTAACAATGAGTTTTAAAAATATCTTTTGGTAGATTTTTCAAATATAGAAATATCGCTTAAAATTTGAGCCAATTCCGTGTGGAAAACGTCTGCTATTTTTAGAGCAATTGCCTTCCGTCCTTAAAAGAAGGAGAAATCGGCACAAGTTTCATCCTGGGATTTTTATATTTCTTTGGCAGCATTTCTGCATCTGCCGGGAAGATGGAGCTTCACCGTTAGAGAATTAGTAGATGTCGCCAGAACATGGGATTAGCCAGATAGTTAAATACGTAATTATCGGAAGCTCAGCTCCCTTCCCAAATCCCTTTCCAATTTCTTCCCTGAGCTATCTCTCCCGCCCAGGCGCATCGACGACGACAAGGGGCGGACGCACGAGCTGGAGCACTCGGCCGTGAAGTGCATGCGAGGGATCCTGTACTGCTACATGCGGCAGGCCGATAAGGTGAGGCGCCGGCCGGGCTGGGGCCTCGGCCCCCCGGAGTGATGAGCCCACAGCAGCCTCTCCCGAGCGGGAGGCACTCAGAGAGCCAAGCACGGCCCCTGCCTGTCCAGCCACGGCCCCAAAGTACCGCCTTCGAAGAAGCCCTCGCGGAGGGTGGTCGGGAGTTGCTGTTCAGGCTTCAGTCTGTTTGCATTTTGCATGTGGTGTTTGCTCGATAAGGCGTTTCTCGGGAGCCTCAATATCCGTATTTTACCCGCTATTACAGTACTGGAGAAAACCCTCCTGAAAATGCCCTTTGGGCCCGGCCAGTGTGGCTCAGTGGTTGAGCATCAACCTAGGAACCAAGAGGTCACGGTTTGATTCCCACTCAGGGCACAGGCCCGGGTTGCAGGCTTGATCCCCAGTAGAGGGCGTGCGGGAGGCAGCTAATCAGTGATTTTCTCTCATCATCAATGTTTCTATCTCTCCCTCTCCCTTCTTCTATCTGAAATCAATAACAACATATATTTTTTTAAAAATTCCCTTTGCACATGTGAATACTCTGGCTTAAGTAAACGTCACTTAAAAATATAACACTTCATTTACCTGTAAAGAAGACAGGAATCACAGACTTAGAAAACAGCCAACCGGCCCGGCGGGCGTGGCTCAGTGGGTGAGCGCCGACCTATGAACCAGGAGGTAACGGTTCAATTCCCAGTCAGGGCACAGGCCCAGGTTGTGGGCTCCATCCCCAGTAGGGGGCGTGCAGGAGGCAGCTGATCCATGATTCTCTCTCATCATTGATGTTTCTCTCTCTCTCTCTCCCTCTCCCTTCCTCTCTGAAATCAATAAAAATATATTTTACAAAGAAAATAGCAGACTGTATAGGTCATTGTGGAAATTAAAGGAATAATATACACAATAAAGCTTTGTAAACGGCAAAGCACCATACACATATAATGAGGTATTTCCCTACTTGCCTGTATGCCTGTGTCCCGGGTCCTAATATAATAAGTGTCTGTGAGTGTGTCACCCAGGCGGAAGGCTCATTGCAGAGGTGCACACCAGTGATTACTCGGGCAGTCTTGGGTATGTAGCATTTTGCATGTTTTTATCATGTGAATATTGTATTGTTTTAATTTATGCTTGGAATGGTAAAAAATGGGATGGTACCTTTTCTTTTTAAGACCTATATCTGAAGTTAAAACTTAAAAAGAAAATCACCTATATTCTGCCATCAAAATATGGCAACAAGAGCATGTCCCTCGCAGAAGAAGTAGATTTAGTCGCAGGCTGGTAATAGGGACACGTGACACACCTGTCATTTGTCTGCCGAGACCCGACTCTGCAGGTCACGAGTGTAAAGGTTTAGAAGTGCATTTAAAAAAATATATATGTATTTTAAATATGTTATTGATTTCAGGGAGAGAGATAGAAACATCAATGAGGTTTTTCAGGCCTGGAATGCAGCTCTGTCAGGCTGACACGCTGAGTCGCAGAGCGTGTCATCTATAATTGAAGCGCTTACCATGCGCGTTGTTTTTTCCTACGCGTGTGAAGTGCACAGTGTACCTGACAGTTACTGTTTCCTGAGCGCCTGTCGTCTGTGAATCCAACTTCTCCCCCAGGAGGTAGACCTCCTTGAGAGCAGGTAGGTCTCAGTGAGCATCGCTGACCCGAGGGAAAGGATGTAATAGCGAGGCTTTTCTCTGTGGTTTGCTGTAGTCAGCTCTTCATTTCCTTCCTAAACACTCTTCACCCTCACTACCCGGCCTCCTCAGTGACGGCGTCTTTCCCGTGCAGCTTGAGTGTGACTTCAGCGGCCCTGAGCCCTCAGTGACAGGGGCTCAGCGTGTTTTCCTTGTGTGCACGTGGCCGGTCGTTAAAATCGGCGAGCTGTAAGGCAATGCGACGACGTTGGGATTAGGAGTCTGTGCAGACCACAGGGCACAGGGTGGGATTGGGAGTCTGTGCCGACCACAGGGCACAGGGTGGGATTGGGAGTCTGTGCAGACCACAGGGTACAGGGTGGGATTGGGAGTCTGTGCAGACCACAGGGTACAGGGCTGGATTGGGAGTCTGTGCAGACCACAGGGTACAGGGCTGGATGAGGAGTCTGTGCAGACCACAGAGCACCGGACTTAAAGCTTCTAAGCATTTTCCTGCTGTGATCTTTCCTGCTCCCACACCTGTCAGAGCAGGGCTGGAGGGCATTACTGTAGTCCCCGGATGACTGGGCGGGGCTGACCCAGGGAGCCTGAACCTGGGCAGCCCCCCTCCCCCCACCCGCTGCCTCCCTCACCTCCGCCTCTTCCTGGTGCTCACCTACCCTCAGGGGCCGGGCCGCAGCAGTAGGGCATGTCGCCCTGTGTATTGGAAAACGTGAACTGTGTGCTTCGGCCTTTCTGTAAAGCCGAAGGAAGCCTGTGTGGGGCTCACTGGCTGTGCTTTGCCCGGACGGCTGGCCTTCTCCGTCTTCTTAGGTGAAACCATGCGTAGGAAGCCGAAGGCTTTCTACTTCCACTGATCTCTCGTCATAAGACACGCTTCCCGACGTAACTTCCAAAAACACGACCCGAGAGAGGCTGTGAACTGAGGATGGATTTGAGGGGGTGAGGGGTGGTCCTAGGTCTGCAGGAGGGAGAGCAGCTGACTCCAGGCTATTGCCGTCTTGCACGTCTCAGGGCTCACCTGCTGACATGCATGTTCCCTCTCGGCGTCTGTGCCTCCCCTCTCACCGGCTCGCTCCTGCTCCCGCTCCCGCTCCCGCTCACTAAGGAGAGGCCTTCCTATGCTGTCGCTCAGTCTGCAGGTGGGGCGGGATCTGCCTCGCACCAGGCGTGCACGCTACTGTCTTTATCGACTTAAACATTTGTTTGCTTAAAACGCTACTAAGTAATTTCCAATTCATGAGAAACCATTAAAGTTTCATAAAGCTTATTCTCGCAGGATTGCCTTGAGAGATGGGTTTTCCTACCTGAGTGCATGTTTTAAGGCTACACATTGGGAACAGAGGACACAGTACTGTTACCTTTTCCTAAATGAGAAGCTGTTTATTTACAAGGACACATTTTCAGAAAAGCCAAATAAAATAGAGACAGAGAAAACATGAATCTAGATTTTTAAAAAATCTTCACCTGAGGATATTTTCTCATTGACTTTTTGAGAGAATGGAAGGGAGGGAAGAGGGGGGAAGAGAAAGAGAGAGAGAGAGAGAGAGAGAGAACATCCATGTGAGAGAGAGGCATTGAGAGAGAGAGAGAAAACATCCATGTGAGAGAGAGACATCGGTTGGTTGCCTCCCACACGCACCCTGACCTGGGCCAGGGATCAAGCCTGCAACCGAGGTACGTGCCCTTGACCGGGAATCAAATCTTTGCTTTGGTCCGCGGGCCGACACTCTAACCACTGAGCAAACCGGCTAAGGCTCTAGGTTTTCTTAGCCGAGCAAATTTTGTGTTAATCATTCCTCACTTTTACTTGCCAGATGTCAGACGCCATAAAGCACGAATTAATGTCTCCTTGATTTTGGCTGCTTTCACGAGAGCTTTTTGTCAGTGATTCACATGCAACTCACCCCATTGCATTCCAAAGCTGAGAGAGTCTGGGCCTTATTTTTTGTCTGAAATGTTAAATTACTTGTCTTTTAGCAGCTTTAGGGCTGAAAGCAGAGGCACGTGATTTTCCATTTGAGCATCTTGAATCGTTTAGCAGTTGCCTTTCCCCCGACGCAGTGATTGAATGTGAATTCTCTGCCGGGTGCTGTGTGTCTCGGAGACAAATGACAAACGCCGCCCGGCAGCTGCGGCAGCCACTTCATTAAACGGATCAGACCATCTCCTTCGATAGGTACTTACCCAGCAGGCAAGATGGCTTTTGTTCTGATTTGACCATGTTTTGGTCTAAGCTCCCAGGACAGTGTTTGAGATGATAATCATGGTGTGTGGAAGGAGGGACCACACGGATGTCTATCTGTGTTGTCCAAGACCACGGCCAGCAGTTACGGTCTGAGTAATGTTTATTTTTAAAATATGTACTTATTGCTTTCAGAGAGGAAGGAACAGGGAGGGAGAGAGAGAAACATCAGTGATGAGAGAGAATCATGGATCGGCTGCCTCCTGCACGCCCCCTACTGGGGATGGAGCCCACAGCCAGGCATGTGCCTTGACTGGGAATCGAACTGTGTGTGACCTCCTGGTTCCTAGGTCAACGCTCAAACTCCTGAGCCACTGGCCAGGCCTCTCTCACATCTTTTCAGAGAGAGAACCCCGTTGCTTTTCCACTGAGTCACGTGCCGTCCTGTTCACCCTCCGCTGCTGTCCAGCGGGTGCCCGCGGGGACGAGCCCGCACCTGGCATGCAGTCCGCATCCGCCAGTGTTTGCCAAGTTGAATATGGCCGAGACGAGGAGACGGGCTTTGTTGTCCTTGGAGCGGGCCTGTTGGGGCATTTAGTGTTCACGTCGTGTTCTGAGACGTTAAAGTGGACGTCCAGCGAGCAAGGGAAGGTGTGGACGGCGTTCCTGGGAAGGGGAGCGGGTGGGAGGGAAGGAGCCATGCGGACAGGAGCCGGGCTGCGTTCGCGCCCTCGGAGAAGGAAGCAGCATTCCCGTTCGGCGCTCACTGACTCCGCACGTGGCCCGCAGCGCTGTCACCGCGTGTCAGGTCAGCGCCCCGCGGTCAGTGGGACACGATGCGGCAGTCCTGCTCCTCCGCGTTGCTGGGTCCGTGAAATCCCCGTCAGGACCCACGGCCGGTTGACGCCGTCCAGTCAGCAGTTACGGGTTCTGCCTGTTTTGTTTCTTCAGAAACAGTCACGTCTCTGGCTTGTTCCGCCCTCTGCCTACAAGCGGTAACTTTCCTCGCTCACACCTTCCACGAGGAATAACTTGGGATCCGTAGCTTGGCCGTGAACGTGAACGGCGAGCATTGTGTACCTGTCGCCTTTGCTTCCAGGTCCAGCAGTTCAAGCAGGACCCGCGCCCGACAACCTGCCTCCACTCCGTGTTCAACGTGCGCACAGGGGACGAGGTCCTCTCCTACGAGGAGTACGGGCACCTGCAGGTGAGGAGACACACGGGCCTGCCCTCCTCCCCGCAGAGGAGGCTCGAGGCCTCGCAGCGACTCACGAATGTTCAAGGTGGAAGGGCACCAGCGTGACGCGGATGGCTGGGAGCCGCCGGGCGGGGTTAGTTATGGGGCTGAATATTGAATCCACAAGCAAAAAGGGCAGCTGGAAAGGTTGTGATGTTAGGACCACCTAAAGGAGAAACACTCGGTTTTTTAAAAGCCATTTTTATCTATTTTTGCTGATTTCAGAGAGGAGGGGAGAGGGAGAGAGACAGAAACATCCATGATGAGAGAGATTCATGGATTGGCTGCCTCCTGCCCTCCCACCCCCCACACTGGGGATCGAGCCCGCAACCCGGGCCTGTGCCCCGACCAGGAATGGAACCGTGACCTCCTGGTTCATAGGTTGACGCTCAAGCACTGAGCCACACCGGTCGGGCAGATCTTACAGCTTTTTTCTGTGACGGAAGCTTGTACCTGTCATCAAACTTGAAAGAGTTTCGACACTTAGGAACCAGGGAATAAAAGACCATCGACAGGGCCGTCACGGCAGATCAGAAGTTCCTGTTCCACAGCAGTTCATTTTTAATATGTCAGTTTCCCATACAGCTAAACATATCACTGAAACGACACCCCAGAGGCTCTGGAGTCTGAGTTTCGTCTTTATAATGTATTAACCTCGGTGCCGGGGCTAAGAACACGCTGCAGGGTTTTATGTTCTGCTTTAAAATTGCCCGCTGCTCTCAGCTGGACCTCCTGTTGCCTGTCCCTGAGACCCAGATACCATACACGCTCCTTATCCTTAATGCGTCTCCTTCCTGCTCCTCTTGCGGTTTCTCGAGCTGGAGGGCAGAATACTTACTACCCATTATTTGGTGCTAAAATAAGACCTTCTTATAGTTGCCCTCTTTCTAACGATCAGAAATGTCTTACTTAGTGTGACTCCTCCAAACAGCGCGGCGTCCCCATTCTGTGCAGCACAGACTCCGGTACTTACTTGTGACCAATCCGTACATGGGACCCAGGAGCCTACGCGTATGTCGTTGCTCAGCCTTCTCTTAGGGCTCTCACATAATTAGGCTCCAGGCACCTCTTGCTTTGGCAAGTGTTTCCTACTTGAAGTAGGGTTTTCAGATGTTCACCCCTCATTTATTGTTGTATCCCAGAATTGAAGCGCAGTGCCGGGCACATAGTAGGTGTTCAAGAAATGCTGGTCACCAGCTACTTGGCAGTCCCTTTGCAGTTGTCACTTACTGATCGTTTCTCACAGAAGCACCCCGGAAGTCGGAGCAGAGGGCTCCTGGAGGTGGAGCCCTAAATGGCTGTCCGTGGGAATAGAACCTCTCTGAAGCCGTTTCTGACGTGCCAGTGTCAGCGCTGGAATAAATATTTGGGGGCTGGCAGTGCATGCAGCCCTTGAGACAGGCCGCTCAGAAGCCACGTCCATCTAAATTCCTTAAAACCAGCATCCTGTGTCTTTCTGTGTGGCCGCCTGCATTTGGACGAGGCCCTTGTCTGTCTTTAATAGACCAATAAACTAAAAGGAGGAAACTCGTTTGCTTATAAACCATTTGTTCACACATGGATTTTAAAGGCTCTGCTATCCCGCTGAGTCAAACGGACAGTGCCTGCCGCTGCCCCCGAGTCCCGCGCCCTCTGAAGGAGGCGTGTTTACGGTGCAGTGTTTACGGTGCCCCGCAGGCGTGCGTTAGCCCCAAGTCTGAAAGTGAGTCTTTGAAAACAACTGCCGTAGAAACACCTCTCCGCGTCCTCCTGCGGCTGTCCCTCCAGGTGAACTGCCCGAGGACTTGAGGGGGTGGGTTTCCTCCGGAAGCTGGGGTTTCATCAGGAGCTAGAGCCGCAGCTCCGTCATGTCACGATGGGGATGAAACGGTGTTCGGTCACAGCGAGAGCGGAGGGCTGGTCGTCTCATTTTTACAAGGAATCTGATGACAGCGTTTCTGTTGCCCCCTGTAACCCTTCCCGTGCTGCTTGTTTTCAGATCAACGCGGTGTCCCTCTACCTCCTCTACCTGGTGGAGATGATTTCCTCGGGGCTGCAGATCATCTACAACACCGATGAGGTACGCGCTCCTCCTGCTCTTTAAAAAAAATGAATTGATGTCAGAGAGGGAGGGAGAGGGAGGGAGAGATAGAAACATCAATGATGAGAGAGAATCATGGACCAGCTGCCTCCTGCACACCCCACACTGGGGATGGAGCCCGCAACCCGGGCCTGTGTCCTGACCGGGAATCGAACCCTGACCTCCTGGTTCATAGGTCGACGCTCAACCTCTGAGCCACGCCGGCCGAGCTCCTCAATTCTTTAGCACTGAATTTCATCTCCAAGGATCTCTCTTATCTTACTTTTTAAAACTCATTTTTTGTTTAATAAAAAATGGATTATTCTTCATTTCATATAATCAGAGACTGGATTTGGGATATTGGATCAAAGTCTTTACATTTTCAATGCTCAGCACTTTGGAAATGAACAAACATGTAGCAAGTTATGAAATTGTACTCCTGTGAAGGCTCTAAGGCGATCTGAAATAGAAGCTTTCAGGATATTTTAGTAACAAAGAAAGTACAATAGCATTTGCAGATTTTCTGTTATTATTTGTTTTTTTACATCATTCCTTTTTGTGACCCTCCTTTTACAAGTAGAGAGATACTTTTATCATATTGTATTATTTTCATTTGCGGGCCTCTCAGTAGGGTTCTGGATGTTTTTCAAAAGACAGATATCATGCTCTTATTCTTCTTGGAAATTTGAACTGAATTTCTGCCCAGACCACCCAGAGTTGAGGAGCGTTTCTTTCATGGGCGGTAATGCTGGACACACACACCTGCGACACACTTTCAGCTGAGCCCAGGCAGACACAGGCTCTTATTCTTTTTTTTTTATTTTTTTATTTCTTTATTGATTTCAGAGAGGGAGGGAGGGAGAGAGGGGGGGGGGAACATCAATGATGAGAGAGAATCATTGATCGGCTGCCTCCTGCACGCCCCCCACTGGGGATCGAGCCCACAACCCGGGCATGTGCCCTTGGCCGGAATCGAACCTGGGACCCTTCAGTCCGCAGCCGACGCTCTATCCACTGAGCCAAACCGGCTAGGGCGAGGCTCTTATTCTTGAGAAGGTACACGCAGTGGGAGCACAGGCTCTTATTGAGACGGTACATACAGTGGGAGCACAGGCTCTTACTATTGAGACAGTACATGCAGTGGGAGCGCAGGCTCCTACTATTGAGATGGTACACACAGTGGGAGCACAGAATCTTACTGTTGAGTCGGTACACGCAGTGGGAGCACAAGCTCTTATTATTGAGATGGTACATGCAGTGGGAGCACAGGCTCTTACTGAATCGAACCTGGGACCCTTCAGTCCGCAGCCGACTACTGTTGAGTCGGTACACGCAGTGGGAGCACAAGCTCTTATTATTGAGATGGTACACGCAGTGGGAGATCCCCAAAGAGGAGGCGTGCTGTGTGGACTGGTCCTTCTTCCTCGTCTGTGACCCCTGCGGGGAAAACATGGCCAGACACGAACTGCCAGGACCCTCAGTGGGCACACGAGACGCTGGGACGTGGGTGCCTGCAGTCCTGCCCCCTCGTGGTGTTCAGTCTCCTAGGTCCCTCCAGATGCAGCTCTACAGAAAGCCAAGTCTATTTAGAAGTGAAGAGAAATAGCAAAGGAGAAAGGATGATATGAAGAAATTACCAATAACCACTAAGGTTTCTCTGTTCGATTCATCCAAGAATTGCATGTTTTTGTTTCATCTAAATCATCCTCATTTTTAATGACATTGGGAAATATTGGAATTCAGGTATTCTGGGTCGCGGAGGGGGTGGGGACTCCTATCTCAGACCAGTCGTAAGCGGCCTCCTAAATGTAAACAAATATGAGAAGCGTGACTGATTGAGAAGCCCGCCCACCCAGCTTCCCCTACTCCCCACCCCAGGAGGCGCCCGAAGCCGGGAGAAGGGGCGGCTCCGGGCGGGACCAGTGCGGGGCCCGTGCACAGTGAGCAGCAGCCCACGCGATGGCTGCCCGCGATTCCCGTGAGCGTCACTCATGGCGGTGACAGGCCTGGTCAGTGGCGGCTTTGTTTCGTTCGGTATTTTATTTTCATTTTCAAGTTTCAGCATTTGTTTTTTGCTTTCTCAATATCTGCTGTGGCTCATTTTAAATTTTGTCAACTGACGGATTTTATAAATACGATATTGCTTTAAGCTTTGCATTCTGTTTATATGGCTTATCCATACTGAAGCAATTTTGGTATTTTCTCTTTAATTTTTCCCCCTTGTTTTCTTATACTTTTTCTCGGCCTTGTAGGTTTTATCTGGCGATATAAAATTTCAATAAGCCTTCAACATGTGCACTTAAAATCCCGGGTAACTGCAGAGTCTGGGGGCTGAATCTGGGTCCCACGGCGGTAAATGGGCTGCATAGAGCCTTTCAGGGATGAGGTTCCTTTTAAGACACGGTCTTTGCTCTGACACACGAAGGCTCAGAACGGCTGCCGCTGTGCGTGCCGGCAGAGGTGCGGTAGCATCTCCACTCCAGGGGGGCCTGTGATGAAGGGGGCAGATGTGTGCAGCTGGGCACATTGAACCAGACGCAATGACTAAACAAGACCCTGCAATCAGGACCAGGGGCCCCTAGAAAATGCCTGCGTGAACATGAGTGAACTTGAGCTCAATAAGAGCGGACCATGGTCTCTGCTGTCACAGTTCTGAGTGTAAACGTCATCAGGCGTCTGAAAGTTTTATGCAGAAGCCGTGTGGCCTGGCTTTTGTTTGCCCCCCACCCCCCCACCTTCCCGTCAGCTCTGGGTTTATAAGAAGGGGTGCCCGTGGCTCTGCAAAGTGGGGGATTAGAATGCGGAGGAATAGAAGTGAGACTCCAGGTCGACCCCACGGGGGACTGGCGTGTTTCAGAACTGAGACATGCCTTCTTACCGCCGAGGTTCTAGAACAGGGGTGGGCAAACTTTTTGACTCGAGGGCCACAATGGGTTCTTAAACTGGACCGGAGGGCCGGAACAAAAGCATGGATGGAGTGTTTGTGTGAACTAATATAAATTCCAAGTAAACATCATTACATAAAAGGGTACGGTCTTTTTTTTTTTAGTTTTATTCATTTCAAATGGGCCGGATCCGGCCCGCGGGCCGTAGTTTGCCCACGGCTGTTTTAGAATATGTAACATCTCATATGGGCATTTGTGATTCCAACTGTTACCCACTAAGAAGCAGAGCTTTCTGTTTGTCTTCATCCTTGAGATGCGCAGCCCTGGCGAGCTGCGTAACCCATCGCTGAAGAAAGTGGTGGGGCACTGACATGTCGGCTCTTCTTCCGTGTGGTGTAATGTTAGCTCCTCACTTTAGGCCCGAGGTGAGAGTAGCAGGCGGACCACAGTGTTCACAGCGCTGTAAGCGGCACGGGAATCTCAGCTCGTCAGAGGGCTGGTTTCAGATGGGGCGTCACTGTTCCGTCAGGATCTGAGCATCTGCTGTGGCCCGTGTCCTCACGTTTCGCTTCTTTTCTTCCAGGTCTCTTTTATTCAGAACCTGGTGTTTTGTGTAGAGAGGGTTTACCGGGTGCCTGACTTCGGTGTCTGGGAAAGGGGAAGCAAATACAACAACGGCAGCACGGAGCTGCATTCGAGGTAACTTGCCGATTTCTGAGTGGTTTTCATTCGTTTAACTGTGTGAGTTGGAATATGAATCGAAATCAGAGTATTAGATGGGAACTGTGGCTTCTGTGTTAATTTTCACCTGCTTCCTTCCTCTATGTGATGCGGATGAAATTCACTTACAATTAAAGTCAAAGAGTCGGCTCCCCTGTCCCAGCAGCTGCGGGAGGAGCAGGCGGCCCCCAGCTCAGGTCGGAGCTGGCTGGCCCGGGCCTGCCCTCCTCTCGGCAGGGCAGCGATGCTCTTTGAAAGTCAAGTCCAGGGAACTGCCCGACCCCAGTGTGCATGCGCTGCGTGGAGTCGCCCCGCCCACAGGACCGAGCTTTACCCTACCCGGCAGGTCCAGACCTTTCCAATCCAGAGTAGCGTCGGTCGTTGTTTTCTGGAAGAGGTGCGAGCAGCCCGGAGCTGTGCTGTGTGGGTCTGACTCAGCCGCAGTGGCTGCCAACTGCGGTTAATAGTGTATGAATTCCCTTTGTTAATAGTGTATGAATTCCCCTTGCGCCTTGGGGTGAGGAAAGTAGCTTTAGTGCCTGGTTGCGCCTTTCAGACATTCTAAATTTATGCCCAGGAGTTCAGCTTTTAGCAAAAAGTGGAGCTCAGTGGGTCCTAGTGCTGCACACGGAAGGATTTGCGAATGTGAAGGTTATGAGCTGCAGGTCAGCTTAGATCACCGAGACGTGTGCGGAGGGGGAAGCAGGCTGGGAGACTGGGTAAGGGCTGTGCCGCTCTGCGCCTTTTGGACGGAAGGACTGACCACAGGAAAAATTAAGCCGATGGAAGATGTTCAGTAAACGTAAGGCTGGCTCCAGATGGCTGCTGCATAAAGTCTCTAATCCCTCAGTTTCCCCATCTGTCAAACGAAGGCAATGATAGTTTCTACTATGTAAGTTGTAATGGTCACACTAACATACATATATGTTAACAGGTGTGTGCATATGTGTGTAGCATGTATGCGTGTATATGTATGTGTGTATATGTATACATACATGCGTATATATGTAGCATTTGCACACCTGGCCTTGGTAAGCACTAGCATACAAGTGCACACGCACATTTCAAAATATTTTAATAACAGACGCCAGCGGGAGGACAGTTGAGTGCAGACGTTAAGCCAAGTCCGGCAAGTAAAACATAGGAAGATAGTGCTGCATTTTAGCCATCATCCAAATTAAGTTCTCGGCACTCCAGGTTAGCAGTGAAATTACGAGGGAGCAGTGGAGTGGATGAGCGAAGGGGATTGTGCGTTCACCATCACGGACCTGGCGAGGCGCCCCTCCCCAGCGCTCTGCCAGCCTGCGCTGCTCTCGGGCCGCGTCGCTGCACACAGCGCTTGTTCCCAAAGCGACTGCTTCGTCCTGTGTCATCGCTGGTGCTCCAGTCCTCGAGCTACAGCAGAGGCCGCGTCCTTCTCTTCCACTTCCTGCTACGTGTGGGCTCGTTTGTTCATCCTCACCCGAGGATACTTTCCCATTGATTTTTAGAGAGAGTGGGAGGGAGGAGAGGGAGAGACAGAGAAACATGGAAGTGAGAGTGACCCATCGATTTGGTTGCCTCCTGCACACACCCCGACCAGGGCCGGGGAACCTGCAACCAAGGTACGTGGCCTTTACAGGAATCGAACCCAGGACCCTTCAGTCCACAGGCTGATGTTCTATCCACTGAGCCAAAACGGCCAGGGCCGTTTTATGTGGTTTTGCCAGAACCATCTGTGAAGGTCCACTGAAACCACAGCTTCCTCAGGCCTCGCCTTGTGGATGAGGGGTCACTCGTGCAGTCTCACTAACACGTGCACCTCGCGCTGCTGGCGGAGGGTTCTGTTATCAGCTCCAGGCGGGGAAAGCTGTGCGCTGGGGCCAGGGGGCTCCTCGGTCCCAGGGACTCGTTCCTAGGCCAGCACAGGAGCTGGCGGTGGATGTCTCCGCACGAGCCCCAGACCACACACCCGGGGCTCTCCTGGTGCTCTGCCTGGAGCCTGGAGCCCGTGCGGCTGCTGGCGGCCTCCCTGCTGCCTGCGAGGCTAGTGAGCCGCCGCCGCCTCGTTCTGGGTGCGTGATCGTCGGGGCCCGGCTCCGGTTCCTGCCTGCTCACCTGTCGTTGCGGATGAACTGCATGGCTGAGAGGCGGGGTGGGTGCCGTCCCTGGTGCAGACTCGGCCACAGGTTTCTGAGACGCTATTGTCCGAGAGTTTCTGTCTTGCTAGGCTGCCCTTTTCCGGGGCCCTTGGCTGGGAGCAGGCTTGCGGGGCCTTTCTGTTTTGTGCACCTACTGGCATTTCCCCGTTAGTGCTGCTTCACCTCCCGTCTGGAATATGCGAGGCAGCCCGCCTTCCCCCTTCCCGGGACTTTGTCTCCTTGCCTGTAACGCCCGGGATTTTTACTTGCACTTCGTGAGAGGCATAGAGAAGGTTGTGTGCGCCACTTCCCGTCCACGTAGTTTAAGTTTCCCATCTATTCACCATCCTGTGATACAAATAACGCTCACCTGAGAGATGGCACATGACCACGCCATGGAAAACGTGGGTCACAGCGACACGGGTCACTCAGAACGCGCTCCAGCACCTGCAGGGCTTTCTGCCCTGGGCATGGCCTCTCCTAGGGAG